CAAAGAACATTTTCAAGTTGTAGTAAAATATATTATCATCAATTGACACATGGTGGTAACAAACCAAGTAGGAAGAGCTTAAGGACTTGATGTGAAAGAAAAAAGTTAACATAAAAAAGGCTAAAAACAGCAAAAGTAGAGGCCGGGCGCGATGGCTCATGCCTGTAATCCCAAAACTTTGAGAGACGGGGGTGGGCGGATCACCTGAGGTCGGGAGCCCGAGACCAGCCTGACCAACATAGAGAAACCCTGTCTCTACTAAAAATACAAAAGTAGCCGGTGTGCTGGTGCATGCCTGTAATCCCAGCTACTCGGGAGGCTGAGGCAGTTGAATCACTCGAATCCGGGAGGCGGAGGTTGCGGTGAGCCAAGATAGCGCCATTGCACTCCAGCCTGTGCAACAAGAGCGAAACTCCGTCTCAAAAAAAAAACAAAAACAAAAACAAAAACAAACACAGCAAAGGCAGAGTCGGAAAAGTTCTCGGCTAAAGTAGCAGGTGAGAAACTTCATTTTATGAGACTTCAGCCCCGTTAGTCAGAACAAAGTATTTCTACAAAGTACCTGTAACTGAAAAGATCCTCCCCGAGACATCACTAAACGATTACTCTGTAGCTAGGGACTGCCATCAAATTAATTCCCTAAGTGACAGTTCAGAGATTCTCGTGGTTTTTTTGTTTGTTTGTTTTTTGTTTTTTAAAGAGGATGCAGAGACCAAGAGGGTTTTTGTGTTTGTTTTCAATGAATATTTAGAAAGAAGGCTTTTAAAAAAGCAGTATCAACTGGCATGTAAGACAAAGAGAGTTCAGTGTGGATTTGGGCATTTCTGCTGAAGCCCAGTAGAAAGGGCGCGCTAATTACAGCAAGAAAAGGAAAACAAGAATCAGCATGGATGAAGCAAAAAACATACAACCCATGGTAGTATGTGCGATGTGATCTTTTTTGCAAGCCCAGCCACGTGTCCTTATAGAATCCCAAGGGTTCTACCTGCTCCCCGGGACCAAAAGCAGCGCCCCAAGGGAGCAGCCAAATGCTGTGGACCCAAACCAACCCACGAGATCCCAAAGCCCGGCGTCTCCTCTCCCCAACCTGGGATGTTCTGCCACCTGGACCCGACGCATAGCAGGGCTCTCTGCAGCCATATTTCGCTAGATCCTTCTTTCTTCTGTAGTTCCAAATGGTTAAGCAAAGCTCCCAGAGCAATCACGAGACTTCTGTGACAGGAGCCGTTTTCTTCCGGGAGATAACCAGCTCCCGCCCTGCGGAAATCCTGCAGCTTCGCTGAGGTGGCTGCTTCCAATCGCCCCGCCTCTGGCTCCTCCTCCCTGGACTCAGCCAGGGTTCCCTCCAAGCAGCAGTCGGGTACAGCCTCTGTTCCGCTCTTAGCTCCCAGGGAGGGACTAGGACCTCGCAGGAGCCCCTACGCCGAGGACGTGCGAAGCTGCCTAGTGAGGTTTTCTTTTTGCGCCGTGTGGATGTCTGAGAACAGTGTCATAACCTGGCGCCTTGCATACACCTAGTTTCTGATCTGTCTTGGGCTGTGTGTTTTTTTGTTTTGTTTTGTTTTTAAGTTATGTTTTGGTCTTTATTTTGGTCTTTATTGTCAGCAGCTACTCCCCAAACAACACTAAAGTGTTTAGCTATTGCTTCTTTTGCAGATTATTTCCAAATCAAGCAACGTAAAATTGATGTATCACTTGATTTAAATAGATTTGCATTTATAGTTAGAGGCATTCGTAGGCTTTCCTAGAACACAGTTCTGAAAAGACGGAAACACATGCCTTTTAATGTGCAAGACCCCTTAGCATCCAGTTAAACCTCTTCATTTTTCACTTACCTAGAGAAATCCTAGATGCCCTATTTTAAAAAGTACACTATCCCCAGTATATCATTTACTTTTCCTTCCTTCATAGTTCTCCTATTTGCTTACGTATTTATTGTGTGTCTCACCACCTCCATCATCACTACCACTAGAAAGCAACTGGAGGCAGGCAGGCAGATTAGTTTTTAATGAATAGGTAAGATAAACTGAATGAATGATGAAGGATGAAGTGATGTCCCTGAGGTCACAGTGATCACTGGGAGCAAAATTGGAATTAAAATTCAGATCTATTAACTCTCAATCTAGTGCACTTTGCACCTCAGAAATGTTGAGATTAAACCCAAGTGAAGGCCGCTAGCAATACACCTAACCAAAGTTTCCTGATTAAGAAAGTTTGGGCCAACATGCCCAACATACTAGTGGTAGTAGCATAACTCAGAGAGATTCTGTAAGTTGTATACATCAGTAAGCTGCTGCTCCAGAATTTCTGTATGTATATGCATACTTTGTCTCCATGTGTCCTTCCCTCTTCTGTATACATGTATACAGGAGGAAGGGGGAAGGACACATGGAGACAAAGTGTGAAGGGACAATAAAGCATAGCCAAAGAGTGGCAGCCCCTTGGCACCCCTTTGGGTTATTACTGTAAATGGTACTTCAAAGAAACAAAGTTACTCTGGTCTCAGGGCAGCTTTCTCACTACTATTTCAGTCCCTCTTTATCATTTTCAAATGAATAAATTATATCTTCTTGTTTCTGAGCCCCAATAAATCCCAGTTTGATGTTCATTTTGGTTTAATTTTGAGTAACAGGAGTCATCACTGTCACTTGTAAATAGTTTCAATAGGGAGGTAACCTAAATTTTTAAAAATGTAAGATGTTTAAGAACATCAGTAAATACAGAAAAGAACAGAATCTTTTTTTTTTTTTTTTTTTTT